GTCCTTAACACCCACTGCCCTTCAATATGTATTATGTGCCTATCCTTGGTTGTACCTCTGGCCCTCAGTTCTAGGATGGAGGTAGGGCCAAACTTTTCTTCTCATGAAGCCTTGAACTTGGGCCTGGACAAGCCCTCCCCACAGGCCCTGGGTACCTTCCTCCCGCGGTGAGGGCTGCCAGCTTCTCCTCCCCAGGCTGAGGTGGGGAAGGGTCATCCAGGATTCTCTGGAACTGCAGCTCTAGGTCTCGAGGCTTGAGCAGGCGAGAGCCCTCATAGAGCCACACCTTGAAGAAGCGACCTTTGTGGTAGACAGCCACATGCCTGCTCTCTGAGAGGTGCTGTAGCACATCTGGGACAGAAACCAGTGAGCAGCTGAGGCAGGACTAAGGGAATGCCCAGAAAGGGCCCACCACCCCCTCTCAGGTGGTCCCTGCAGACTCTGCTTTGCCTCATATCTGATCTGGGCCTTCATCTAGGGGCAGATTCCCTTGTTAAGCCAGTCCCTGTGCCCCGTGTGAATCCCTCCTGCCTCCTCTTCAGGCTTCATCAGGGACAGGCTGTCTTCTCCTGAATTCCACCACCCCAGCCGTGCTCTTGCTCTTTACTCATGGCTATCTTCCTAGGTACTCAGAAGTTCTGGAAAGACAGCCACTGTTCTGGACCCATGCGGTCCCAGCACCATGTCTGTATATAACAACCATCCAGAATCTGTCACAAACTGACTACTTTACAAATTCATGATCCTGAGACACTGGAGTGCTTAGAGAAAAATAGTAGTTGGACACCTAGGTGTCAGGTGCCTGGGAGAGTAGGACTTCCTCTCAGTGGATGCTTGGCTATTGTCCCGTACCTGTTTCCTTGCCTGGGATGCGTGTAGTGTTGAACATCCTCTCCATCTGGTAGGAGCACATGGGCACCATGCCCAGTGCCATCACCTGGGAGGAAGGCCCAGCATGGCTTAGATTTGGGCCTCTTTTCCTTACCCCACCCTTAACCCTGATGGAACTCACAGGTTTGATCTCTTCACGGTCCAGTTTGCGACGATACATGATCATGGCATGAACAGCATTTCCCACACGTGCTGCTTGCACATTTGTGTTCTTGATAAGCACAAAATCCTACAGATAGAGCAGAGTTTGTAGGCTGGGCACCTCTCTCTGGGTGTCACCTGAGTCTCACTAGCCTGAGGAAACTTTTTCAGGGGCCTGAGGTATTGCATCCCCTGTCTATGTTCCATCTTACATCATGTCAGGGTGAACTTCCAGAAACGTATAACTGGCAGGCTCCAGCTTCGACCAGAACTGTTCTTTGCCCATTCATACATTGTTTATTTTGCTTCAAAGGGGTTCTACCACAAAATAACAAGAACAAATCTTTGATTTCGACAGGTTGTAAATTGCTAGAAAGACAGTTCATGAATGAGGGGAATTCCAGGAGGCTAACACGGTATGTTTTGGACATCAAGAAAAATTAGGGCCCTGGGCAGCAGGAAGTTCAGCTCCCTGTCCACAGGTCACATGAAGGGAGCAGACAGTGTCTTCCTGAGTACTGCAAGGAACTGCTATTCATTCTGTGGTCTTGATGCCACAAAGGGACAAAAGCAAGGTGTGTTTTAAGAAGTTCTCTGAAAATGATGTTGAGATATTGGAGAACCTGTGCCTGAGAGGCCAGGAAGCCAGAGGGGACAGGGAGTTAGGAAGCATAACTGGGCTGAGAAAGTCATGCGCAGTCTCAGAATTCTCCCTCTTGTCAGGATGCCCGCCACCCATAGGCTGGGTCTGGACTGCTCCTCCAGGATCTCTCCTCCCTTTTTCTTTCCCTCAGACCTCACTCCATAACCCCCACTCACCCATGGAAACTGATGCAAAGGCTCTGGGATGTCCTCTAGATCCTTGTTCCAGAGCTGGGGACAGAGCTGGGCACACAGGAGCCCTAGGAGGCTCTGGTTCTTACCATGGCATAATAGTTGCTGTTCACCATGAGGGGGCTCCTGCCTCGGAGGTAGACGTACTCTTCCCACCAGTCACTCACCTGTGGGTAGTTAGGCTGTAGGTTAGAGCTGGGGCAAGTGTATCAAGAACATGTGGATAAGAACAAGCCTGGGAGGGCAAACTTACATAGTTAGTTGCCCACCATGACTTGAGTACCAGGTATTTCTGCAGTCTGGGGGCAATCTTCTTCTGGAATTCTCTGGCCAGTGTCTCCATGCGGTAATATTCTTCATCATCCAATAAGGGCCGCACAGAATCCAGGTACTGTCCAGCCAAATTATTATCATGAAGATGGTACACCTCCATCTTAACCTTCTCACAACCTCTCCTCAACCAGACCCCATTCTTCTCAAGCCAGCTATTTATAGAAAACAGTCCTTATAAGTTTGGACTAGTCTTCTGAGTCCAGGATTTTGTGCTTGTTGGTACTCAGGCTCTTACCCGATGAATCGTGGCTGGAACACTGGGTACAGGAAGCTTTGGCAGAGATGTTTGGAAGCTATAGAGCATGGGCCGTCGGCTGGACAGAAGGCGAACACAGATCTAAAGGTACAAAGAACAGTGTTGGGGTAGGAGCTAGCAGGGAGAATGGACCCAAACTGAAAAATGACCAAGTCCTGCAGAACCATCCCAGTTCCTTCAGGACAAACACGTGCACCAGGCACTGTTGTCCAATCTGCCTCTCCCTTCTTGCTTAGAACCCCAAATGAGATTCCCAATGATCTCAAACCAGATGCTTGCACCCTCCTCCAGTGTTTCTGCTCACAGCCCAGATCTTGGTGGCATGGCTGGTCTTGCTGTGCATCTCGAACATCCACCCATGGTAGGAAAGTAGCATCTTCAGGGTTTGTCGGAATAAGAAAATGCCTGTTGCCCAGATCCCAGTGGAGAAGATGACCATGCTGAGAAGTTCCTGGGTCTGTGGGTTCCCATAGGGGACACTCCTATTGGAGAAGGAGGAAGGCTTCAGGCTATCCCTTTAAGGCCATCCTTTGGGGAATTCTAGCATACATGATGACTATCAACTCTCTTGGGGAAGACATGAATGGAAAAAGACCTCACCGAGTGCACTGAGGTCTGAGTGCATCAAATAGACAAACTGCCTTGGAACTGAAAGATGGTAGCCCTATGAGAGAGCCCCTTGGCCACCAATGGGTACATTTCTGTATCTGTCCAGTACAGGAATCCCGGCTTTGGGAACTGTGTTGGCCCTTCTTCCTGAAACTTGTGTCTTCCAGGTGCCTTACCTGATCGGGAGGTATCTCTGGATGCAATGGACGAGCCCCATGGAGATGTCGACCTTGCAGTAGTTGGAACCAACTGTTGCCATGACAACAACCAGCCAGCTGGTGGGGCTGCCAGGGTACACACCCCTAAGGATGCCATTCTGTGGGAGGGGGAGAAACAGGCATCCTTGTGGGGGTGAGAAAATGTAATTAAGCACCTGGGGAGTCCTGAGAAAAGGCTCCTGGTCTTTGTCTCGTCCATTCACTGTGTTCTTTCTCTACACGCATCTACATTATATGTCCTATCACATCTCCATCATCCTTCGGTTTCTGCACTACTGGACCCTGTCTATAACCAGCAGTACTGCTGGACAAAGGCGGAGACAGACGCTGAAAAGGAGACTAACTGCTGACAGCTGGCGTCTGCCTAGGCACCTGCTGGGGAAAAGAGGCCCGGAGAACCACCTGTTCCCACACCTTAATTCGAATAAGGCGTTTCTTCCAGGAGTTGATTCCGGACTGGTAGATGTGTTTCAGAGCCTCCCGACTAAGCCGGAAGTCGACCCCATCCGGGGTCACAGTGAACTGGAAAGCTACTGCCTGGTGTGCTTCCGCCATCCTGGGGTTTAGTCAGCACCTACGGGTAGGGGCAGAAGGTGCTTAGTGTACACATGCA